AGTGAACATAATTTTGCCATCTTGGTTTTTTTTTCTTGCCTATACTACCTTCATTTATTTTGGCTCTGTTCGTACAATACGATATATTAAATGAGGTTAAAATGGTATGGGATATTTTTCAGTTTTGCATATTGTAAAGAACCAGACATTATTTTAGCATTACTTTACTAACCAGGTCATGTGGTTTATTTGTTTTTATGGATACAATAATCATTCATTGTTAATCCAGTCTTATGCATAAAATTTTGTTTGAACCTAGCTGCTATGTATAAATCTACTTTACAATGCCAGCTCTGGTGAAAGCTTTTCCTGATTCTCTCTAATTCTGTCCCCAGTTAGTTGATTGAACAAAAGCCGAGGTTTTTTTGTCATAAACTGAGTGTTTGAAATTTTCAGGGGGGGAAAAGGCAGAAGCTAAGTAAAAAGCAGATAGCAAAAGAAAAGGACATTCAAAAGGAACACAAGCAACATCAAGCACAACTCAGATACTGAGCATTTGTCTAGCATGATTCAATGTGCAATAAAATTTTGCTGTCAATTAACAAAAAAGAGAGCTATTTATAAACACATTCTTTTAGATTGATATGTACAGCATCATCTATTAATATACATCTGACTGTTTCACAGTGCGTCAGTTCATGTATCACACTGGATCAACTTACAGATTCTCAAACCTGGTACTATTACACGTCCTTTGAATGTTTAAAGACTACATGTTTTCCCAAATAACTTTAATGACTTCATTCTAGTTAGGTAAGAAATAAATGTAATACTTTTAATAACTACATTTTATCAAAGAGGTTCTTGGACTTTGAATACCATAATTAATCATCACCAAGCTTGCACAGGCAAAGCCTATGGTCAGTTTTAACAGCAGATATACTTCTTGAAGAAGCCTGATCATATTTTTTTTAAAAAGAAAAAGAAAAAAAAAAAGAAACTGGAACTCCTCTGCTAGATGCTTGCAGACTCTCAGAGAGTCACAGCCCACATTTTCAGGACTTCTGGATTAACTCATATTGTGAGTTCATGGGATATAAATTAAATAATTAGTAGCATCTGTGGAACTAATTATAGGTCTAATGGAGCAGGACTGCAAAAATCTGGACAACATAGAAATACAAAAAACTCCAATCCCTTCCTGACACCTAGGGCCAGGTTTTTCCTACCCAGATTTGAAAGCACTAATCTGCTTTCTAATAAACAGTTGTTAAATTTTATGCCTACTAGCCTTCCCAACTATGTATCTTGGAAAATTGTAAATAATTGTAAATAATTATTACAAATAATTAGTACAGATTCTATACAATCTCAGAACAGTTTCTTGGCAATACATAATGAAATACTGTAAGAAAGGAAGAAGAAAAAAAGTTGCTGGGAAAACAGTTACATTCTTAGAAAAAACAATGTACAATAGTGGAAAATACCCTCTTTCTCAAAGCATGCTCATATTATCCAAAGAAATATCACTCTAGGTGAATTTTGCTTTAGCTTTTTCTTCAATTCATCACAATCTAGCTGGGAAAAAATTATTTCTAGTTTTACAAGTTTTATCATTTGAGAAATTACTTTTTTTAAAATGTAATTTTAATGCATCGGCATCTGAGGGGTGGGGGAGGTGGTTGGGGGACTAAGAGAGGGTGGTACGATCAGCACGGTCAGTGGGAGGGGCAGATATGGCGGGAGCAGAGGACCATATCGGGTTTGGGGAGCACACACACGCTGTCTACAAGCTTGTAGGTGCTCCGGTCCTCAGGGCTCCACTCGGTCTCCAGGGAGCTTAGTTCCTCGGGCCCGGGATCA